AATTTACCTGCATTATCTTCTATCTAACACTGTTTATGTAGTTATTATATATATCCATGACATGTATTCAATAATAAGTAAAAATACTAAATCAATTGAAATAACTACCTCCAAAACTTATTAAGACTCTATTTTTATAAAAAAAAATCCTATAAGATTTTTGTATCCTATAAACATTGTCAAATTTTAATAAATACTTAAATCATCAAAAAGACTCATTAATCTTAATATTTTATTTTTTAAATAGTTAAAAGTTATATTTTAATAGTTTTACTAATTAAAAAATATATGTAGAACTTATATTTAGTATTATAGAAATATTATAGAAATTTTTAGATTTAATTTAGACTTTATTTAAGATTTTTTTATGATTTTTTAGAAAATATTTTAAGACTTTAGCAAAATTAAATTTTACCACCTTAGGAGCTATTATAAAGAAATGAAACAAGATTTGAAGGATAAATACAAGTTTCTAATCTAATTGGGTGTTTTTAAATACCAAGGTGAAGTCAAAAATATAAAAATAATACTTTTTTTAATAGAAAATAGGAGGACCACTAGTTAATTTAATCCTTGTAAGAAGAGAGGTGCACAAGTCTCATATAGATTGTAGCATCTTAAATGTAGTTAAGAAGATAGAAATAAGGCCTTGTAGCTTCTCTAATAAATCTAAATATACCACTTTTAAGTCTTGATAAGGCTCAAACCATTGATCTATAAGCAAGTTATTCTTGAGATAAAATATTTTTACTTAACTTTTTATTTATTAACTTGCTAGCTTTGAACCTTCATAACTTATTCATAATAATTTGAATTTATATGTTTCTTATACCATTGAAAAGCTAAAAAATTAAATTCATAAAAATAATTTTATATTTATATTTTTATTTTTTATTAAATAAAAATTTAGTAAACAAAAAATGTTATAGTTTTAGAATATATAATTGCTTGATTTCATTTATTTTACTTATTTTGTATTTTTTCTTCTTTTCTACTTATTAATTATTTCTTTCATTTCATATTATTTATTATAAGTAAATCTTAATTAAGACCATCTTATAATTTAGATTGAAAGGTGAAATTTAATCTCACATATAGATAGTCGTTGTAGAAGTTTATAAGATTAATGATAAAGAGTTATTTTATCTTGAAAAAAAATTCATGATTGTACAAAGTATTTGATTGCTTTTTACATTTGAAGTGACTGAAAAACTCTTAAGATTAATTCCAAAGTCTTGTTGTATTCAAAATGTTTTGCAGCTAGAAAGTTGTGACAAGCGTGAAGAGTATAAGATTGAAGCTTGTGCTTTTGAAATCTGCTATCATATTATAAGACATTTTTTTGAGAATGCACATGAAGCTTGATTGTAGAAGGTAAAATAGAAATTACAAAAATAAGATTTTAACAATTCCAATAGAATCTTAAAAAGATTCTAATTAAATTTTAATATTCTTTATCAAATCTTAATCAAATTTAATTTAATTTTTTAAAAAAAAATTAAAAAATATAAAGAAATTAAAAAAACATATAAAAATCCTAAAAAAATAATAAATAAATATTATAGAAATATTTTTTAAAAAAATCTTAAAAAATATTAAGAATAAAAAACTTAGATAAATCTTAATTAAATCCTAAAATTATTAGAAAAATTCTAATAAAATCCTAATCAAATTCTTAATCAATCCTATAGTAGATTAAAATCTCAATAATTAATAATAAAATTATAGATTTGAATTCAAAATTTTTTACACATTTTAATTATAAATTTTAAAAAAAATACAAATAATTTGAAAAAGATAAAATTAAATAATTAGAAGATAAATTTTAAAATCGGCTCAAGAGTTGGTCAGCCTCCTTCTTCAATCTTGGAGTCAATCTTCCAAAGCCAATATATCTTAAGTTCACCATTTAATGTCTTTCAAAATTTACAAAGTTTTTTAAAATTAAGTCTACAAAAATTATAAAAAAATTTAATTTAATCCAATTGAGAAATTGCTATAAATTTTAAAAATCCTTAATGATCCTTTAAACTCTAATTTTTGAGATTCTAGTATATTTAAATTATAACAACTATTAAACATATTATTTGATCAAATTTATAACAAAGATTTTGCATAATATTAATTATGTAATCACAATATTTTATTTTTAGATCATAAACCAATCTTACGTAATTTTTCATAGTATAAGTTCTTTATAATTTTCAAAATCTAAAATAATCCCAAAAAAATCTTAACTTTGCAAAGCCTTTACAAAGTCAATGCAAACTCAAATTATTCAAAATTGAAGCTGAAAGAACCATTTTATTCTTTGCTATCAAATCCTACTCTTCAATTAACTAAAGAACCATAAAACTCTTATAAGTGTGCGGTTTTGTGCTTCAACATCTAATTTTGACCCTGATTGATAATTGGTCCTCTCTAAGTATCAATTCTTGGTTATTTAAGATAATTATTGCTAAAAAATACTCTTAATTTCTTCTTAAAGATGCCTAAATTAATTACTTTTCTTTTCTACTTTAATTTTCTTCATTTATAGTTCTACATAATAAATAAAAGTTCTTTTTATAAAAATATAATATCAAAATTTATTAGTTTTTACTACCTTCTTGTCTAATATGTACATATTTTTAGATTATTTTCTACAATATTTTTATTTAAGCTCCTCTTCAATATAACCTTTGTTTTTTTCTTTCACTTAATAGCCATATTATAACACAAAACTGCAACTATAAAATATTATCAAATTTATAAACTTTTATCTACTTCTATCTATTTGTATTATCTAAATAATTATTGGAGTAAATATAGATGTCAATGACATTCAAATAACCTATAGAATGCTATCATATAGCTTTGTAATTACATAGTATATATAGAGGCAAGAGCAAGGCTTTTCTTACTTTTATCAATGTCTTTTTTACTATTAACTTTATTTGAAGAATCTCTAATTTTCTTGTGTTTGGCAATAACTATTCTAATTTCTATCTTGTAATTATCTTTGATTTTTCTACTTTCTTTTTTAAATATTATAAGAAGATTTTTTTTTTTTTTTTTTTTTTTTTTTTTTTGGAGAATTTTGTTATGATTCTTGTTTTTAATATTAATGAATATAAAGGTCATACATGGTTGCTTGGATAAACATAACGTATAGTAATATTGTTCTATTTACACAATAGAAAGTTTGTCTTTTTTATTTTTATACAAATAGCTAATTTTTACTAATAAAAGAATATTTTGGATGTAATCTATTAATATTCAAGTTTTTTGTACCATAAAAGATGTATATTTATTATCCATTGCATTATATCAATGAGTAGATTTAAGATTGATAGATATAACCTAAATTAAAGTAGACTCCAAAATATGAGCTATAAAAGCATAAGCAAAACCATTTTTATTATGAAACTTAATAGATTTTTATTGATCTTTGGTAGATTGAGAAGATATTTCCAATAAAGACTTATATATAGACTTTGATTGCTTAGATGGTTCTCTATGATTAAAAATTATATTTGAAAATAAGCATAATAGCTAAAACTTCAAGAATATGTGTTATTGTTGTGTTATAACATAACTATAAGATAAAAGAAAAAAAATAAAAATATATGATATTAAAATACTTAAAATAGATTAATTGCATGTGAAGATTAATAAACTACCATTCATGGTGGTGTTCTTTAGCTTTCATATTCTTAACGTGCCTTAACACTTCTTCAAAGCATTTAAGGATACTTTTTAAAATTACCATACTCATACATTAGGCATTTAGTTATGGAAGAACTTAATCTTACTTTGAAGTTTAATTTATAATTCAAATCAATAGATAAGATGTTTAAAAATATTTTTTTGGCAAACATAAACAACTAAAGTACTCTTTAAATTATCTTAAGTAAATCTTATCAATTTTAACACAGCAATATGCTACAAATTCTACAAAAGTTTTACAAAAAAATAATGCCTCTATCATATTAAGTGCTTTCACTATCAAGTTCTTCTTATAACAAGTATATGACATTGTTATATATTTGTTATGTTTTCTCAAATAAAGAAATTAAGGTGTCTGTAGAAGCATTCTTGGCCCAGTTTTGAATGCATGCCTTGTATTGTTATTGATAAATATATTACAACATGATTGTCCATGCTTAGCACATGCTTGCAATGATTGGTCCAGTATTTTTGAGCTTGAACAATGTTTAGGGGTATGGAATTGAAGTCTAACAAAAATACAAAAATAGTTCAACAAATTATAACACAGAAGACTAGTTTTGTATGATTTCAATACTTTGCTAACACCCACTACATATAATTAAAAGAAAAGAAAAAAGACACACAATGAAATAATTTGAATTACCCACTTAAAAAGCACCAATAATAAAAATAAAAAAACAAGCTGTAAAAAAACTTGTTTGCTGCAAACATAATGACATAATGTCTCTGCCAACCTGAATCCAAGCAACGAAATAGACTAAGTAAAGTGGAACTTGGACAGCAAAAGTTTGGACACATTGTTATTCTAGGATTTTTCTGTAGTATACTTACTGTAAAGTGATCGTAAGAGCAAACAAATTCCATAAACACACCCATCATGTCTTAAAACATACTAAATCATGGTCTTAAAAACATCGCAATAGAACCCTCCGTTCCTCCTGTCGTTGAGAGGAGGGTGATGGATATACCTGGAGCCAAACCCAAGTGAGTGTCCCAATCCAAATTGCACCGTACGAACAAGGCGTGAAACCGAGGGCAGCACAATTACGGCATATATTTGTTCGTATCGAATCTCTAAATTGGCCCAAGATCGGAGATCTCGACGACCATGTGTACATCATAAATTTGTTTGAAGATTGTTGCCCGGTTCCAGACTGTGATCCACTGGCAAGATGAACTGGTTCCTCATCCATCAACGAAGTGTCGGTAAATATCTGTCGGTTGGTCTGTATCTGCATTCAAGAGATGCCCGTAAAGAGCTGTTGCTGGGGTTAAGCACCAAGCACAGCAAATCGAAAGGGCTCTGGTGGATGGAGCTGACACCAACACCAAGTTGCTGTCTAGAGGGATGAACGTTCATGGACGACCAGAGGCAGCCAGCACTCCACGCACAGTTCTGTACGAGACGTGTATCGAGCCCTTTTTAACAGTTCGGTTGTTGACGAACTCGACATTTTTATCGCAAGCCCAGGAATCACACGCTTGAGGGTCTTGTCTTTGGAGAATCGTTGGTAAGAGAAGAGGTTGATTCAAGTTTTAGGAGGCTGTCTGTTTGCATCAACGAAACCGGAGTCTAGTGGTGGTCCGTTAACGAGTCAAGAGGACCACGTAGTAGGTGTCGGTAGGGCAATCTTAAACAGCGGAGGCAATAGTGTGGTGTTCCGTGAGATATTTTGTGTGTTGTGTGATAGGATTGATCTCAGACCTTTTCTTGGTGCAACCCATCGGATTTGGTGCGACCCCGGATACTCTCTCTTGCCAACCCAAGACTTTCCTCCGGTGACCTAGGGCGGCTCCGTCCAAGGAAGCGATCTTCGGACGGGGATCTTGGAAAGGTGGGAAACATTTTTCCTCTTGAGCGACCTGGAATGTCCGAGGTGTTTTTGTTTTCCTGAACTCCCGTGAAAATGTCGGATTGGGTGCTTCAAACATGAGAGACATGCGTGGATGTGCATTCATAGTTTGAGTGGAGTGGAACAAACCTGCGTAATCCACTCAAATCGACCCTCCAGCTTCGAGCGGAGGGGACATGACAGGGACATGAATGTTGGAGACGGAGGTCTTCTGAGCGGACGTCGCATCCATCGGTTCCAATATTAGGTGTGCGTGAAGACTAGGTTTTACATGCTTATTATGCTTGCCGTTTCATCGGAACTGTCAAATGCATGTGTGCAGGACGGTGGTTAGGCATTTCCATCAGCTACGATGAAGACGAAGTTCATCAACGACTCGAGTTTAACTATCAAATTGATGGAAGGGAACGCGGGAGCGTTTCGCGGAATTTGTGAGTTGTCTAAAACAGACTCTTATAAAGTAGAAGTAAATCCAAATGCCACGTATCGAGAGTACATGGCGGCCACTGGAAGTAAAGGAGAAAGACTTATATTATCGGAAGAAGAAGTTTATAAACACAGCACTATAAGAATAGTAGATGATTATTCAAAGCCGGAAAAGTTTAGATTTCAGTTCGAGAACCCAAGAGTTGAAGGTGAAACCCATGCACCGAGGCAATTGCTATTCAAGTGGTGGGATAAATTGATTTCAAGAATTAGATCTGGAGAAGTAGGTTCTGACGAAGATGGTGGAAGTGCCAAAAGTAGGGGAGGCCAGAACGTGGTTACCTCTCACCCAGATGCAGAATCGAGTCCGAAAGGTAGTGGAGGCTAGAATTTGGGTATCTCTCGCTTAGATGCAGAATCGAGTACGCTCGCCAGCTGATGTTAGAATCCAATTACATCAGTCTATTCCGGTGCACATTCCGTAAGCCCACCAGGCGGTGTCGGAACAAATGCAGATTCTGCGGATTGCAGCGGGGCTGCTTTCTCCTGTGCAGCAGCAAGCACACCAGACGGTTAAAGTCGGCCGACTATGTGCTTTCGGTGGAAGCAAGGGATCGGACGAATCGGGTCGGCCGTAGAGAAGTGAAAGATTTTATATATGTTAACTATCCTCGGTTGTTAGGTACGTTTGAAGCATCGAGAAAGGGAAAAGATGGGATTGTCTATTATGTCAGGGGTGAGGTGTGAATGAACGTGTTACATTCTACTCCAAATTATTGTTGTAATTGTGAAGGCAAAGAAGATTTATAAATATACTAATTTGTGCAATTCTTTTCAATTTATTATTATTATTATTATTATTCTTATAATTATTATTTTTTGAAAACAATATGTTGTAATTAAGTTTAGTTGGTTATTTTGAAATAGTGCAAATAAGAATAATTTGTTAATCATTTAACTAAACTTTACACAATATTTCGAATTGAAACTATTTAATGTTAGATATCAGATTTAATTACAAGGCATTCAAATTCAAGTTGTAATTACCAAAACATTCTTTGTGATAATATTTGGTGTACTTTTAGTTGCCAAATATGTCTTGGAATATATATAAATTAGTATAAAGTCAATGATGTTTTTTTGTTAATAAAATTAGTATGTTTAATTTAATGCAAAAATTGATAAAAAAAAAACATTTTGAAGAATAGCTTTTTAAAATGAGAATAGTTTAGGATACAAGTTGTGAAAAATGTTATTTTAGAGCCTTCAAGTCTTAAGCTTATATTCTTATTCTACTTAAGTTTGTCTAATAAATTAATGTATGAAATAAAACAACTTAAAATAATCTTATAACTAAAAAAAATAGTAGTGTATAAAAACTTCTACAATTTATTAAAACATTTAATTAACTCTTTGAATCTTTAAACATACTATTGTTTAAATCTTCTTTAAATCCATAAATAAGTATTTAATATAAAATATCGAAGTTAAGAGATAGCCACCTTCTTTTTATTATGTGTACATCTCTTCCACATTTACCTACATGCAAGTGTCAAATTCCTTAGCATATCCTTCAACCTTCTAGCTATCATAATGTCATATAGTAATTGTTTATAGTATATGTAAATTAACTAAAATAGATAATATATTTGTAAGTGTTGATATACTTTAGAGTGGTTAGTAGGTTAATTTAAAAAGAGTTGATGTAAGAAAATTTATTTTGAAGTTTACTAATATTGATTTTAGTGTTTAAATTATATAGGATTTAGATATTTAGTTTAAAACTTAAGGAGAAGATTGGAATTCAAAGATGAAGATCCAAACTTCTAAGAAACTTAGTTGAAGGGATGAAAGCAAGGTATGGATGGATGAAGGCAAAAGGTAAAGATCTTCATCCCTATTGGTTGAAGGCCATGCCCAATAGGCATTCAGCAAGTTGTCCACGACCATAACAAGGATTTCGATGACTTCAAAAGGGGCATTCAAGAATCAAAAACATGGATTGTAAGGTTTAGGATTTGTGCTACAATTTGTAGGAAAATTTTAGAGGATTTGGAGTTAAAGTGATGAAGGTATAGTTTTTTGAAGTTAAGGTAACTTTTTAAGATATATTGTTGCTATTTTGAAGATATGAGGAGTTTTATGATAGATTTTGGAGTTTGGAAGAGGTGGCCGCAAGGATGATTTTAATATCTGCATCTTTTGTGAAAGAATTTCTACCTTAGGAGTTTGTATGAAGAAGTTATAGAGCGTTGAAGACAGCATATATAATTCAAAGGTAGTAAGTGAGTCGTTTTGTTGATAGTAATGGTTGGAGCCACATCTTGAATTTCCAAGTGAATTTTCAGCTCAAAATTTCTAAAAGTGTGTGTTACTAGGTTAAAAAGCTATAAAACAAAGTTTTATGGTATTTGAATACTTATTTTGTGAGATATGAAGAAATTTGCACATGGGTGTATGTAAACAATGGTTTGAAGCTACTGTTAGGATTTTGGCAATATCTCGAGATCCATAATGAATTTGTAATTGAATTTTTTTGTGGTAGTTTTTAAAAATACATTGGTACTTCATGTAAAATTTGGATTTGTTTAGACAACCCGATCATGAGATATGAGTTGTTGAAATTTGGGAAAAATTCACCTTAAGGACATATAAGGTTTTATAATATTTTTATTACATTTTTGGTGATCTTTAGTACTTAGGGCTTATGTATTGATTTAATTACCTCTATAGGGACAGTTTTATATAAAAATTTGGTGTTTTTTTTTTTTTTTTTTTTTTTTTTTTAATCTTGAGGCTTGGTTGAGCAATTAGTAACAATTAGAAGTCCAATACTTTCTTAAGGCAAATTCTCTCTCCTTTGACATATTGGTGCTTTTTGAACACTTGAGTTTATTTTAAGATTATAAAAGAATCAATTTTATTGTAAAGAATTTGTATGTTCATATTAAAGTAGATATTGAAATTTACATATTAATTATTTAAATTAGTGCCATTAAATTTACATTACTATAGATATCCATCCTTCATTTGCGTATTTTTAAATTCCAAATTTCTTGATCTATCTTTCCATATCCTTACTATTGCCAATCTTATCATGTATTTAAGCTAATTTTAATATTTAAGGAAATTAAGCTCATTAATAGAAAAATTATATATCTACAAGACATGATTTGTATCTCAATTGATTCAAATAATTTTATCGAATAATTGAAACAATTTGTCATAGCAAACTTTAAGACTTGCATTAAGATCTATCATAAAGCACATGGCTTCACAAATAATCTACATATTATTGATGTAATAATTATAATTAATATGGAGAATATAAGGCACATTAATAAGTATTATAAAAAAATAGACCAAAGCATTTATACGACCAATTTTCTTGTGATGATTGAGTCATAGTTATTTCTAAAAATATAGATAAGGTGGAGCAATTTATTATCACTAGTATTGATACCTCTATTATGGCCTAATAATACTTTAATCATTTCTAATTAGTCTCTCTTCTTGTATCTTGACCAAGGCATGCCTTTTGACATCATCCACCTATCTTTTGGTACTTTAAGAGTTTTTTCTATCAAATCACACATACAAATCTTGAACTCCAGATATTCATGCTTCATAATGCAACATTCTTTTACAAATTTGAATTATATTTTGTTCTTAAGATAATGAATCATCTAAAAAAATACATCTCTATTGTTCTTGGCTTAATCATAAGCTTTTTAAAAAATAGAATTAACTTCTAGACAAATTCTAATGTCTTAAAGATTATCTTGAAAGAAAATATGATAATTTTATTATTAGATAGATAGTAAAAAATTTATTTACAAGATAATCTATCAAAAATCTTAATAATATAGTATTGATTTTGACAATTAGATGTTCTTTTAAAGAATCCATTATACCCATGTATACATTTATATTTATTGATTTTAATTGCTTTCTTAACTTTTTGTAATAAAATAAAAGTGTGTATAGATATATATTATAAACATACTTATAATTACTTACATAATATGAATAAGTAGAAGTAAGTAAAAATAAGCCAATATTATAATATCTTATACAAAAACTTCCTAATAGCTTTATAGAGATTATTTTACCTTTATATATATATATATATATATATTTAGATGATTGATAGGTTAAAAACTTTGCCAAGAAGTTAGCTTTATGTCACATGTATTGATTGTTTATAGTACTATGGTTGTCATTTTATTTATTCCAAAAGAAACCTCCCAGAATAAAATCCATATAGGGAGATTCGAACATGGGGAATGACTAGTTGCTTAAGCATTCACGTTAGGGTCACACAATCAATTACCTCCTGAATGTATCGTCTCTATTTCTAATATCTGAACACACAAGGAAACTATAATCTCTCCCTTCACCTTATCGATCTCTTCCTTATAACAATTCACTCATACTAATAACTGCTATTTCTACCAATATATTCACCCTCATAATCTCCAATTGTAATACTGCACCCTCACAGCTTTCAGCACACAATTATCCTCATTCCAATCATTGGAATTCTTCACACAGAACTGCCATTCACATTACGGTGTTTCACACAAATACAGACTCATTCTCTCTGCTGAACTATAATCAGATTTCAGCATTCAATCTTTCTTCTTCTCAAATAATACCAATCACATTTCCATTCCATAATTCACTTCACAATATTCAGAAACTCTCAATCCTCTTGTTCAAAGAAAATAACAAACAAAAGAAAAGAGGTAGCACGAAGCTTACCTCAGCTCACACTATCACAGCGATGGCCCTCGACTCACGACTCTCACAATCTAACACCTTAATTAACTTCTACAACTCCTATATACTTTTCCCTGATTCTCCAGATTTCAACCGTAATTTTATAATTAACCGCTTTTAATAACTAAATCACTCATCCGTACTCCTGAATTTCTTATTATATGGACTATTAATATATTTTACCAATATCTTTCAAAAACAAATTAATATCTATTCTACATAGCCCCACTCCTATCTGTGTAGCGTCCTCGCAAATACTCAATTGATACCTATCTAAAAATTATCTAACAAAACTCTACAAAAATTACGATCCCTCTGGCCTATCTAATTAATCAATTTCTATAGTATTTGTTATTGGTTCCACCGATTCTGGTTCCAACTGCAAATCTTCATCCTCTTCCAATCCTTCCATCGGCTCCTACCTCAACTGAGTTGAAAGGTCTTCATTGTACTCGCCCAGTTCATGGACTTGAGCTTCTAATTTCAAGATCTGGACATTCCAAAGTTCTAATTATTGTTGCTGCTGACTCATCCATTCTAGAATATCTTCAATCGACACTTGTGACTGGCTCTTCACTGTTAACTTTTAACTGGAACTACTAATCTCGAAAATACAAGAAATACAAAAAAATGGCACTCCAGCCAATCCAAAACAACACCATAGAATGACTTTAACTGGTGCCTCACTCCTATTCTTTTACTAGCTAGTGATAATAACAACATGTTACCCATACTGTCCGTGAAAGGTAATGAAAAGTAATCTTTCTTGGTAGCCGCATTAAGTTTCCAAAAATCCTGAAAAATTCGGAATTTCCAATTCTTTTTCGATACCATCACGATTGGTGAAACCCATGCACTATACAAAACAGGATAAATAAAATCCACGTCGAGAAGTTTATCTAATTCCTCTTTCACTAAAAGGAAATATTTTGGATTAAGGCGGTATTGTCTTTGATGAACTGGCGTAACACCCTCCTCCAAAATAATCTGGTGCTCACACACGTCAATTAGAATTCCTTTCAAATCTGCATACGACCACGCAAAGGCAGATTATGATGGA